TGGAGTATTACTCGGCAATCAAAAAGAATGTAATCTTGCCATTTGCAACTACGTGGATGGAACTAGAGAGTATTATGCTAACCAAAATTAGTCAGAGAAAGACAAATATCATGACTTCACTCATATGTGGACGTGAATAGACAAAACAGATGAACATAAGGGAAGGGAAGCACAAATAATATAAAAACAGGGAGGGGGACAAAACAGAAGAGACTCTTAAATATGGAGAACAAACAGAGGGTTACTGGAGGGATTGTGGGAGGGGGGAAGGGCTAAATGGGTAAGGGCACTAAGGAATCTACTCCTGAAATCATTGTTGCACTATATGCTAACTAACTTGGATGTAAATTTAAAAAATTAATTACTTAAAAAATAATAATAAAATGCACCCCATTTTGGAGCACCTAGGTGGCTCAGTCGGTTCAGTATCTGGCTCTTAATTTCGGCTCAGGTGATGATCTCATGGTTTGTTGGATCGAGTCCTGCACCCAGCTGAGCGCTGAGAGCTGAGTCTGCTTGGGATTCTCTCCTCCTACTTTGCTTCTCCCCCCATTTCATCCAAAAGAAACTATAATTGTTGAACTCACACTATAACAACACAAAAATAGTTGCAGCTTATACTATTAAATGTATCACAAGTAGCTATGCCTTCTGGTTAAATTGCTATTCTAAGGAATAAAGTCAAGGCATGAATGCAAAGAGGAGTCAAAATACCTTTTTCTACTCAATGAACACTAAGGTCTATGGTTCTTGACATATCTGAGATTTGAGATTTCTGCTGTAATAACCCCTATTATTTACTAATCAGGAAAATACTTTAGAAGAATTTGAAATAAAAAGGCTTATTTTTTTATTTTTTTACATTTATTTATTTATTTTGAGAGAGAAACAGCATAAGCAGGTGAGGGGTAGAGAGAGATGGAGTGAGAGAATTCCAAGCCGGCTCCGCACTGACAGATGTGGGGCTTGAATGGACCATGAGATCATGACTTGAGCTGAAACCAACAGTCAGATGCTTAACCAACTGAGCTACCCTGGTGCCCCGAAAAGTTGCTTCTTATGTCGATAAAGTTCAATTAAAATGAGAGTAAAGAAGAAACATTAGGTAACAAGTTTAATTTACATACTACTTTAGAAATCTATTCTATACAGGTCTGGTAGTGCTGGTTTTTAAAATACAATTGATTTGAATATTATTTAGTGTGATATCAAATTTATTTATTTAGAATTTTTATTTCTTTTGAAAAACAGAGAGAGAGAGAACATGAGCAGGGGAGGGGCAGAGAGAGGGAGAGAAAGAGAGGATCCCAAGCAGGCTCTTCACTGTCAGCACAGAGACTGATGTGAGGCTCTAACTCATAAACCGTGAGACCATGACCTGAGCCCAAATCATGAGTCGAATGCTTAGCTGACAGGTATATTATCAATTTTTAAGGGAAGTTTATTCTCACATAGATTAAGGAAATAAAATAAATTAGTTATTCTCTGAGAATTTGCTTCAAGATTTTCTCATAAAAATCAGCATCAATCACACGTGAAGCAATGATGCCAAGCCTGAAGATAAAACATATGACAACTTAGCTCTCTTAGAATATAAATTAGCAAAGCCCCATTTTCAAATCCACGAGATACCCTCCAGATTGCCAAGATAAGCAGTTCGTATACTAAGGAAATGTGTTTAGAAATGGAAGTCCTTGGTATAGATTCTACATAAATAACAGTACCTTAGGAAGTCTTCCTAATAGTAATATTCAACATAAATTATCTGTTCTTTGAATACCAATTCTAACAACAGCAGTGACTATGTCTTTAATCCCTGAATATGCTGGGCAAGCTTTAAGGACGTTTCACATGCTCAGATTTACATATGAATGCATTTACAGCCGTTTTCAATTGAAAAGAACCTCAGAGAACCATTATAATTTCCTCATTTTATAAATGAGAAACCTGACTTCCAGAGATACTATGCTCTACCTGGTCAGTGATGAAGCCAAGACTAAGTAAGAGTTAGCTGGCTCCACGCTCAGTGGTCTTTCCACTGAATCAAGCTGACAACATATGTGACGTTTGGAAAGAAAAAGTTTTTGTAAAGTTTCATTATAAACATGTAGAGCCAAGAACTAACAATTCAATGATTTTCATACATAGTGGCCTTTAAAATAATTAGCTTACCTTATCAAAGGGAGGATAATAATAAGGTTGTTTTTTATTCTCTGGGAATTTGATATGCAAAGCTGTTGCATTTTCCGTATATGGATTTGTCTGAACAGTTCCCATTGGATTCAACATTTCTTCAAGTTCATCTAAAATATGCAAATAATTTTGATTCTTAAAAAATGTTTTTGAAACTAAACTAAAATTCTTAATAGATTTCAACCATGAAAATTATTTTTAAAGTATGTTACCTAAGGAATTTGTCAGATAATTTTATCAGTAAGCCTCTAATTTTCTGTTAATACTTGACACAAGAGTTGAATGCGTTTACACACATCTCTAAAATGAGAAAGTTTACAAAAATTAATACGTACCTCACATCTTCCTTCAAATTTGGTAAGAATTCTCAATCTTGAAAAAGACTTCATTGGAATTGCTTCCCATCAAAATAACGTGACCCAAAAAATTTTCCTAACTTCATCACATATAGGGATTTCTTATTTTCTGTGGTCACCACAGTACCCAAACTGTTATTTCTGAGGGTCATCAATGACATTCTTTTGAACAAACCTAATGCTATTTGTGTTCCTAGATCATTCCATAACTGCTGATACAGTTAAACACCTCTCCAGTAGTCTCTGCAATACTCCATTCAAGTGGTACTGCTATCAACTGCGTCTTTCTTCAAGGCACTGCTCCCACACTCTAAAATGGTCCATTCACAGACTTGTGCATAGGCATCTTACATTTCAATGCTCTCATAAAACCCCGGAGTTCATGTAACTTTCATTTCACAGATAAACTATTAAAAAGACATTAAACTCAAGACAAGAGAACACAATTAGCAGTACATCCTCAAGTCTCCCGTCTGCAAACTAGTATGTCCTTCCTTACACTGATTTTTAGCAGCTGTTCTCTAAGGAAACAAAAGATAAAAATCCATTGTGTCCAGGCCTAATATCCAGATACTATGCACACTTGAATTATTTACCAATGCTAGAAAATCTTCACAAAGTATTTGCAAGTTTCAGGTCCTGATCAATTCTTCGCTCATGTTTAATATTGTCAAATTTCATAGAAGGAAACAATTCTCATCATTTATAACACTTCTAAATCAGATTTCTCAGCAAATTAAAATCTTATACTTATGGTAGCATTATACTTCCTTGTCCTATAACATGCAATCTATCTAAACTAAAATGTACCATTTTAGTATTCTTATCAGTCCCAAACACATAGAGGTAACCTTGCTTAAAAGGGGTTACAAAAAGGCACTCTAATACATTATAGAGAGTATGAATTGGTACAGTCTCTACTGGAGAGCAATTTGTGATTATTCATCAAAATTACAAATGTATTTACTCTTTTTTATTTTAAAATTCCAAGTTTTTATTTTTTTTTAAGTTTTTATTTTAATTAGAGTTAGTTAACATAGAGTGATTTATCAGTTTCAGGTGTACAATAACAAATGTATATATTCTTTAACACAATAAACCCATCTCTAGGAAATCTTACACAAATACCTACACATAAGCAAGGTTATTCATTGTAACACTTGCTTAAATTATCAAAAGATAAGTCTACTTTAAAAAGCATCAGCAGCACTCTAGATAGATACATAAGGTTAAAAGGGCAAGAGCAGAACACTGCACAGAAAATGCTACTTTCTTTCAGAATGGAAAAAAAATAGAATATTTCCTAGTGTATACATGAAGAAATCGGGAAAGATATAAAAGCAACCAGAAATGTGATTATATACCCTTTAGTAATGACCTAGGGACTCTAGATAATAGATTATTTGAAAAAAAAAAAAAAAGACTATTTGTATTTCAGCCTCACTCCTACAGGGATAAAGTGACAATTCTAGAGTTGATACATGCAGAGAAAATGTGTTCATTTATTATTTTTCATGTTATATTTTGTTAGAGATGAAGTCAGGTTCATGGTATGCCAAGTTAATACTGTCCAAAATCATCAATTCTGCCAAAAATACGAGTCAAGTTGCTTGGAGATTCTGGAGAACATGTGTGAATCTAAATTAAGGTTTTGAAAGAAGTATAACTGCTGAAATGCATAACTTTTACTGTTATGACACTCACAGTTTCTCTTAAGAAATGCATAAATGCATACTATTCTATATTTTGGGAATAACATGATTAATAAAAACTATTACAAGTATATGTAGGAAAGAGCAGAAATTAAAGAATATATATATACACATAAAATATTAGAATATGAGGAGTTTTAAATACGTCTGTGAGGAACTGATTATCCAAAACCAGTTTCTCAGATGGCAACTACTAATAAATGAATATTTTCAAACGTCTGTCACCCACAAAGTAATTTTAAAATGCACATAAGTTCACAATTTTATTAACTGTATTAATGAGCTATGAAGGCAGGGGGAAAAAAAGAAAACCACTATTACAATGCAAAGCTTACACTAAAAACTTCCAACATTCAAAAAAAAGCAATATGGAATAATGGAAAGAGTCAAGCAATCTTTTGTATAAACCCTGGTTTTGAGCCAATTATGTACGACTGACCAACTTATCATCTCTGAGGTTCACTTTTCTCATCTGTAAAATGGAGATAAAACTATCTACCTTATTGGGGTGCTCTGCATAATATTTAAGAAATACAGACAAATTATAGCTCAAATTTCGCGTTAAAGCCAACTAAACACTTATTGTATTTTTACTATTCCTCCCATATTAGTGGATGTGCCTTCTATTAGTGCAGTAAATTTAGTATGACTAGGCACAACAAAGGTTGTTATAAGACATTGTTTTTTAGGACAATTTCTCCAAAACCTGCAAAAATAAAATGTTTAAAACAACAACATATTCATTAAGATAACAAATATATTCAGATATAAATCACTTTTTAAACATATTAAAACAATCTGTGGGAATCTGTTTTAGAAAGAATAATAAAGATATGAAATGAAGGTTTCTTTACTAAACTAAAAGAATAGTGAGTCATAAAGAAACAGTAACTAGTCCACATGCCAAAAGTTACTCTTTAAGGATTAGGATATAAATCTTACCAGGAAATGAAGACCAGCTGTGCAATATTATGTCTCCAGATCTCAACTGTCCTTTAAAGTCAAAAACCATTGTATTTACCCATGCTACAGGATAATGCTGTTGAAAAAGATACCATTGCATAAATACGCTGAAAATGAACTTTAGCATGTAAATGTGTACATGCCCTTTGTTTCAAAAATTTAGTTCTAGAAATTGCTAGAGTTCCCGATGATTTCCAAAAAATCATCCAAAATAAAACAAGATATACATGGGAAAATGTTCAAGATCTTTACAGTGGTTCAAGAAAACTCTGAAAGCCAATTAATGTCTCATGATAAAATAACATATCCAAAAAACAGTATTTAATGTATAAACATTGCAAGTGTTAAGGAATTTTTAATGATTCAAGAAAATATGCGTGATATAATGTCAGGCTATATGTTTTAAGAGCTTTAAGCCTAAGTAAATCTTACGTAGGAGAAGGCAATGTATTCTGGTATTGTAGGATTTATTAATATTTCTAAAAAGGAAGTGCCAAGCTCACAGACTTACACAGGTATCTACACCAATTAACTTGGTCACAATTTATCAAAAATACTTATTATTTTTTTTTTTAAATTTTTTTTTTCAACGTTTATTTATTTTTGGGACAGAGAGAGACAGAGCATGAACGGGCGAGGGGCAGAGAGAGAGGGAGACACAGAATCGGAAACAGGCTCCAGGCTCTGAGCCGTCAGCCCAGAGCCCGACGCGGGGCTCCAACTCACGGACCGTGAGATCGTGACCTGGTTGAAGTCGGACGCTTAACCGACTGCGCCACCCAGGCGCCCCACAAAAATACTTATAAATAGTCAAAAGCTTTTAGTAAAATTCTGTATCAGTGGAAGAAAAAACACTGAGGAAATAACTCTTCTGTGACTTTTACATCCTAAAATTTATTTTTTTAACTATATGGTAATAGCCACAAGAAAAGCCTTGCATTCTCACAGTAAAAAATAAAGGATACAAATACACATACATAAATATAGTAACCAGTTTTTTTTAAAAAGTATACAATTCATGCCTCCATGCCTTCTAAACTTATAAGAAAATGAAAAAGACCTGACTAAAAACAGGAAATGGAAGATGAGAGCATCAGAACAGGTACACCATCCCTTTTCCACAACCTCAAAATCTAACAACCTCGAAAAACTAAAGGTCTGTCCATAACTCATTTGACAGTGCAGGGCACCTCGGTGGCTCAGTCGGTTGAGCATCCATCTGACTTCGGCTCAGGGCATGATCTCGAGGTTCATGAGTTCCAGCCCCACATCAAGCTTGCTGATGTCAGTGTGTAGCCTGCTTTGGATCCTCTGTCCCCTCTTGCTGCCCCTCCCCACTCACGCACGCACGCAAGCGCTCTCTTTCTCTCAAAAATAAACCTTAAAAAAAAAAAAATAATTCATTTGACAGTAAAACATGGTCAGAAATGGCATGAACTTAACTGATACTCTTCATTTGTCTCATTCAGTATGAAAGTCACAGATTTCACTGTTGGATACTGATGTGTTTGATTACAGATTTGTGCTCCAGATCCCACAGGGTGCGTTGAGTGAAGTGTGTTGTGTAATCTTTCTAAAATTCTGAGTGTTCAAGTATATGTGGCACCTAGAATTTTAGTTAAGGGACTGTGGACATATAATTTTTTAGATCTTTTCATTCATTTTTATCTGTATCTTTTTAAGTTTATTTATTTTGAAAGGGGGGGAATGAGTGAGAGAGGGGTAGAGAGAGGGGGACAGAGAATCTAAAGCAAGTTCTGTGCTTTGAGCATAGAGCCCGACCCAGGGCTCAAACTCACAAACTGTGAGATCATGACCTGAGCCGAAGTCGGACGCTTAAGTGACTGAGCCACCCAGGCACCCCTCACCTCTCTCTTCTTAAAAGTATAATATTTATAATAGAACACTTACAGTAGGACATTTGCTAAAACAAATCTGCCAGAAGAGAAAATAAATAAACAGAATATAAAAATGGATATTTATTGTCTTTTTAAAATCACTTCTTATGGACCAAAGTTATATGATAAAATTTCACTTATATTACTCAATTATTTCAAAGAGTCTTAAAATCATTCCATTATAAAAATTTTTCAGTAGTGCATAATTACCACTTTCCCAGATTTCCGGATGGTCTGATATTTAGAGGGATTAATAGTTTTAGTCGATTTTTTCGTTTTCACTTTATCCAAAACTGCATAAATAGCAAAACATAATCGAGCCATTCGTGGCAGGTCACAAATATTTATATCAAATTCCAGTGGTTCATTCCAAATGTGATCATTTTTCCCTGATATCTCTGAGCTTACGATGGTTTTACACAGGAGTTCGGTACCATGAAAAAGGCCAGCCCTGACATGAACCTATAATGAAGGAGACAAAAACAAACACAGATTTATGAACACTGTACTAATGAACACCTCTATTTTGAAGAAAAATCGTATATTGGGAGAAGGAGCATACCAACTCTAGGAAAAACCTTTTGTCCACAGAACCATCAGGCTATAATTAATCAGTAGATACTTCACTGAACTGTTATTTTAACCTATTTTTCACTTAATCCAAGAGGTCTCAATGTATGTATAAACAGATCTACAGAAACCAAGACCATAAATATAAAAACTATTACTATCATATGCTCACTTCCACTGACTTCATTTACTCGGGATCTTGTCTTACTCTTCTGCAAAACTGGAAAGGAAGTGATGGATGGAATGTCTCCCAAGTCTCTTCCTACATTTAAAAAATTTTTATTTTAGAGGGAGAGAGAGAGTGGAGGTGAGGGGCAAAGGGAGGGAGGGAGGGAGGGAGGGAGAGAGGGGGAGAGGGAGAGAGGGAGAGAGGGAGAGAGGGAGAGAGGGAGAGAATCTTAAGCAGGATTCAATCTTAAGCAGGTTCAGCATGGAGCCTAACATGGTGCTTGCTCCCACAACCCTGCAATCATGACCTGAGTGGAAATCAAGAGTCAGAGGTTTAACCAACTGAACCATCAGGCGCCCTTATTTTCTTACTTTGAAACCATCATCAAGCCTACACTGCATACAAGCCTATACTGTATAAGCTTAAATAAAAAATAAAATAACAAAATACAATATATACTCACTAAAAGCATATTCACATTTTGACAGTACAAAGAAATGAATACAAATAAAACTAGTTGTACTATGATAGTAAGAACATTGGTGACTTATCCTTCTCTTAAGTTATTTTCAATTATATTTTACAATGTTATCGTTAAAATACTTTAAAATTGGGGTGCCTGGGTGGCTCAGTTGGGTAAGGGTCCAACTCTTGACTTGGGCTCAGATCATGATCTCTGTTATGAGATCAAGCCCTGTGTCAGGCGCCGTGCCCAGCATGGAGCCTGCTTGAGATTTTCTCTCTCTCCTTCTGCCCTCCTCTGCTCGAACTCTCTTTCTCTCAAAAACAAACAAACAAATGACACAAAATAAAATACTTCAAAAATATTATTCTAGAAAGCACCAAACAAAATAGCTGGATGATCTAAATTTAAGATCCTAAATACAAGCATAACACCAAATGCTCACACTCAATCTAAAACTCATAAAATTTAATGCAAATATGAATGAAAATGGAAATCATTTTTTGTATTACTTTTTAAAAAAACATTCAAGGTTATCTGTTTTTAAACAGTGTCAAAAGAATAAACAAAAAAATAAAAAATAAACAGACATGGGGTGCCTGGGTGGCTCAGTGGATTGAGTGTCCGACTTTGGCTCAGGTCATGATCTCGCAGTCCGTGAGTTCGAACCCCGCGTTGGGCTCTGTGCTGACAGCTCGGAGCCTGGAGCCTGTTTCGGATTCTGTGTCTCCCTCTCCCTCCCTCTCTCTCTCTCTCTCTCTCTCTGCCCCTCCCCTGCTCATGTGCTGTCTCTCTCTCAAAACTAAACAAACATTAAACAAATTTTTTTACATAAATAAAATAAACAGACACTGTCAAGACTGAGTAGTCACAGCCTTAAGCAACTTTTAAGTCTATGTCTACAGTACTTTAAATGATATTCCCCTGTGTTCCCTGAAATAAGGCAAAAAGTCTGGAGATTCTTTTTTTACTCTGTAAATTATACGATAATAATTATGAAGAAAGATTTATACAACAGCACTTTTAGGAAATCTTTGTATTTACCTTTATGCTATACTCAAAGTATCTAAACTATAAGACACTTACTAGTATTTTTAAAGGCCAAGACAAAATAGGAATAATAATTACTTTATTCTGTAAAGAAAACTGCAATTGCCTATAAGAACCATAATTATTTTCTCCTAAGCAACTAAGAATTGGCCCTATCATGAAATGCTCAAAAGATGGAATTTAGTGTTAGTAAAATTGTATGGAAGATAGGAAGAGCACAAAACTCAAGATTATGAAGTTTTCTTTTCCTCCCTGAGATACCTCAGGAAAACTGAGCATCAATTAATGAACACACAATGAATGGTAATTTTAGTTTATCAGGAGGTTAGGAAAGGTTCCGTCACTATGCACTAGTCATTATCTTTTTCTTTTTTTTTAATCAGGAAAGTGCAAATCATGTTTATTTATTTTTGAGAAAAAGAGAGACAGAGTGTGACTGAGAGGGGGCAGAGAGAGAGGGAGACACAGAATCCAAAGCAGGTTCCAGGCTCTGAACTGTCAGCACAGGGCCTGATGAGGGGCTCAAACGCACAAACCATGAGATCATGACCTGAACCGAAGTCAGATGCTTAACCAACTGAGCCACCCAGATGTCCCTCTTTTTTTTTTTGTTTTAATGTTTATTTATTTTGAGGGAGAGCATGCTCACCTGCATGCATGGGACGGGCCGAAAGAGAAGAAAAGAGAGAATCCCAACCAAGCAAGGTAGAGCCTGCTTGGGATTCTCCCTCTCTCTCTCTCTTGCTCTCTCTCTCTCTCTCTCTCTCTGCCCCTCCCTCACACTCACCGTCTCTCTCTTTCTCTCTCTCTCAAAAATAAATAAGAAAACACACACACACACACACACACACACACACACACACACACACACACACACACAAAGAAATGTGTACTGACGCCTGTCATAACAGGAGTCTGGAATTGAAGAAGTATCTGGGCTACAGGCAAAGGCTTAAGAATAATAAGCAAAGGAGGTACAGTTTTTCAATTTTCTTACAAAGAGCATATCAGTAATTGTTTTCCAAGATGTGAAAAATCCAAATGAGAGGGGAAAAAAACTAAGAGGTGTTGAGGCAGGGCCCACATGCCTAAAGCAATCAATCCATCTGACCTCCGAGTTTCTTGACCTCAAAATCTCCACAGTACTTCCTCTCCTTCCCCTCGGCCCCACAAACCCAATCACATGCAGAATCTGACTTTGCCACACCGTAGCAACTCCAAATCACTAATTGCTACATCTCACTTTCTAGCCACTTCTTCTTCTAACTCACTCTGACACTCCCACAGGAAAATCCCCTTGCCCATTTTTAGCCTCATTTCAATGACCAACACCTCCCCTTCTTTCCCCATCAGCTTTGTCCGCCTTTGCCTTCCCTAAAACTCTCTGCCAATGCCGGTCTCTCCCTCTGTCACACACAACTGAGGTCCATACCCTGAATAAACCTAATCACTTGTCTCCTCTCCATACTATATGTTTTTGGGCCAACCAGCACCATGACTAACCAGTCTCAAATGTAAAATTATTGTTTCATCACTGCAAGAACATTTCTTACCATTACTTAACTGCTGAAAACTTGCATAGCCATTTACTCTTCTATAAGATGAGCCTTCCTCACATTCAATAAAAATATTAAAAATTTTAAAGCCCTTATTTAAGCTCCCTTTTTTATCAGGTTTTCTGCTACCTAAAGACGACGTGCTGTGATGGATACCTCCTGTTGGTCAACCTATTCTATTGAGAAGTTATAGAACATTAGAACAATGAAATACTAGTCCATTATTATTTATAAGATAAGGAAAGCAAGTAATGAGGAAGATCAAATTATGTAGCTAATAAAAAAAAAAAGGAATCCAATACTCACCAAATATAGATAAATCACTGTTAATAAATTATGAAGTCAGATCACTGTTACTAAATTATGAAGTCATGTGGGTGGGGAAGATTGAAGATGGCAAATATGCTGGGATGAAGTAAAGGGGTTAAAGAGTATTTTTCTTCCAGAAAAATGCAGGTTATTTCATTTGCACCAGATCCTCCACAAATCTCCATGTAAAGATGTAGGTGGGGGTAGGGTGGGGGTTTTCATCTATTCACACATGAACCCTGCTTATGAACGTCATGTCCCTAAGACTACTTTCATCCCACTATAGGCTCACCTGATGATCAAAGTATTTATGCTTGGATTTCATATCTATATCTGACCTTACATAGGCACAACAAAGTACCTGCTGCCTAAACCTTACCCAAAACCCAATCTGGGGAAAAAATATGCATTCAGAATTTCCTGAAAGACACACAGTACATTTATTTCTTTGGGAAGTTCAAATATTACCATTCAATTAAACATAACCCATCACATGGTTGAGTATAAAACTGAGAGTGAATTACTTTTGTCTCTTACAGAATAACTTTTCCTCAATTGTGCTTAATATTATATTTTAAACCTACCCAGTGAAAGATTCTATAGAAGAAAGATACGTGAAACGTTATTTTACCTACTGTAAAGATGCTGGCATGAGTGTTGATGCCCACTTTACTTCCCACTGTGTTTCCTTCATAAGGAGCCACAAATATCTCTCAATTTACAACAGTATCAGGATGAGCTACAAACACATGAATGACTAGTTTGTTTATCTTAAGAGATTCTGAATATTATAACTGATCATGTTTTCTTTGCTTTGACCATGAGGTATACTACAAGAAAGCAAAATATGTAATCCAACATCAAGCAGTTACAGAGGATCTTACTATAATACATACTTACCGTGAATCTTGCTCCTGACTTTTTTGACTATTAAATATTCTCAATTATTTTTTAAAAAGTCAAAATTTTGTATAGGGTCTGTGTGCGTGCGTGTGTGTGTGCGCGCACATGCTGAGAGAAAGAGAAATGGAGACAGATCAAGTACATGTACACTTAGCTCTTACATTTGTGAAGATTCAATAAATCATAAGTAAAACAAAACATACAAAAAACACATTCTGGGGGCGCCTGGGTGGCTCAGTCGGTTAAGCTTCCGACTTCGGCTCAGGTCATGATCTCGCGGTCCGTGAGTTCTAGCCCTGCATTGGGCTCTGTGCTGACCACTCAGAACCTGGAGCCTGCTTTGGATTCTGTGTCTCCCTCTCTCTCTGCCTCTCCCCTGTTCATGCTCTGTCTCTCTCTGTCTCAAAAATAAATAAACGTTAAAAAAAAATTAAAAACAAAA